GGGGGGGGGGACGACAGGTGAAGGGGCCACGACTCCAAAGCCACCCGCTCCCCCTGCCGGCCACAGAGATGGGTGATCACCTGGTGAAACACGGCGACGGAGTGAAGGACGTCGCCTTTGAGGTGCAGGACTGTGACTACATTGTACAGGTGAGACCACGGCTGGGCTGGTGTGGGGACAAAGCAATAAGGCTTGGCCCGCCCTCTGTCAGCCAGAGGGACCCCCTCAGTCAGAGCTGGAGGACACTTCTGTGTTTGTGTGACTCCATGCCCCTGACTGTGTGCCCTCTCACTGAGCCTCAGTTGCTGCGTGTATAAAATGGGGCTAACCACAGCATCTACCTCGCCGAGTCGTTACAAAGAGGAAATGAGATCATAATGACCATTTCTTGAGCATGACTCTGAACCAAACACTGTACTCACGAGGCAGTTTTGAGGTTCAGAGCATAGATTCCAGAGGCAGACTGCCCGGGTCTGGATCTCATTAGCTGTGCGGCTTTGGGCAAGTGACTTAACTTCTCTGTGCCTCAATTTCCTCATCTATAAAAATGGAGAGAATAACGGGACCTTTGGCGTAACGTTGCTGTGACGATAAAGAAGTTAATACCCACAACAGTGCCTGACATGTGATAAGCACAGACACGCAGTAAGGTTTTGGTAAACAAATGCGTGAATCACACATACAAGGCACTTGGCAGAGAGTCTGAGACATAGCAGGTATTCAGTTAATGCCGGCTCACTTTCTTTTTAGGCAACCAGCCTTTTTTACAGATGGGGAAACTGATGGGGAGGGGGAAGGGCCACAAGTGAGTTAGCAGAGTCAGGACAGACCCCCACAACCCACTTGGTTTGTCTCCCACAGCCCCAACTCTGGGCCTGGGCCTCAGTTTCTCAATCCGCCAAATGCGCATGAGGCATGGGTCTCAGGGGCAACGGCAGAAGCCGGCTGGGGTTCCTACCTGGGGCTGGAGGAGGCTGCAGCAGGCTCACGGAGCGGTGATCACCCAGGAGCAGCAGGCAGCAGCTCTGGGAGGGTCCAGCCCTGACCGCCCCTCCCACCCCCATCTCCCCCCGCAGAAAGCCCGGGAAAGAGGCGCCAAAATCATCCGGGAACCCTGGGTGGAGCAAGATAAGTTTGGGAAGGTGAAGTTTGCCGTGCTGCAGACGGTGAGTTAACTTGGCTGCTTCCGCTCTCTCGCCGTTGGCACCCACGGAGAAGCCCTCACCCCGACTCCTTAAGCCATCCCACCCTCGTGCCTCGAAGCACAGACTTCTCCCTCAAGCCTGACCAGCGTAATGCTTGGCCAGTGTACAGAGGCTGATGAGAGCCACCAGCCACCCTGAAGGGCTTCCCTTCCTCCCCAGTGGGGGGTGACAGTACAGAGAGGTAAGCTTCAGGCAGGGGCTTGGAAAGAAGAGAGGTATGAGGTCTGGGGAAGCCCCACCCCGCACCAGCTGTATGACTGAGCAAATCACTTCACTTCTTCGTGACTGCACTGAAATGAGCAAGGACTGGAGTCGGACCCGGTGTGATCTGGAACACGCTGCCACGTCTTTCCGTGCCTCGGTGTCTGCAGCTACAGCCCCTCCTAGGATTATTATAAGGGTCAAATGAGATCATTCGTGTATAGCACTCAGAACAGTGCTCGACGCTCAGCAAAGATGACCAAGTCTGTCTAGTGCCTGTGTTATTGTCACACAGAGACAATCGTAGGTCCTACCTTCTCAAGTTAAAATATGGCTTAAAGATGGTTAGGATCGAAAGAGCCTCCAGCATACTTCGATCCAACACCCGCATCGCTCTTCATTTAGTCCGCCTATTTCTACTGAGAACCTACTGGGCACCGAGCACTGCCCTAGGTGCTGGGGACACAGTGGTGAGCAAGGAGGTGTCCCCGCCTTCACGAAACTTACGGACCCATAGGGCAGACAGTCGAAAAAATTACCGAATGACAGACTGAAATTCATTTTGGAAAAGGGAAGTGACTCGCTTACGGTCACGCATCAAGTCAGGGTGAGTCCCTGGCTGGAACCCAGGGCTGTGCTGGTGCCCTAGCCTCGGTGGGGGTGGGAGCTCAGAGGCTGAGCCAGGCTGTTTTCCGCCCGCAGTTTGGGGACACGACACACACCCTGGTGGAGAAGATGAACTACAGCGGCCCATTCCTGCCTGGCTTCAAGGTCCAGGCTTCCACGGACCCCCTACTTTCCAAGCTGTGAGTATCCCCCAGGGCAGGGGTGGGGTGGAGAGCGATGCCCTTCTCCTCTATGTGGGCTGGGCTTCTCTGGGAGAGCAGAGTGTTGCGGGCCTGTCGGGGAGCCCCTGAGGGTCCCCAAGGGTGGCTTGAAGAGGCAGCACAGAGGCTAAGAGCACAGGCTCTGGAATTAGACTGCCCAGGTTCAAATCCTAGCTCTGTCACTCCAGAGCTCTTCAGCCTTGGCAAGTGACTTTATTTCGCTCCACCTCAGTCTCTTCATCTGTAAAATGGGGCTAGTACGGGTGTGTAAGTGGACTCAGAATGGTGCTAAGTAATAAGCAGCTATAATTGTTATTGAGGGGCTGACAAGAAGTGGGGCATTTAGGGAGTAACCTTGTCCTCACCCCCTGAGCACGTCCCTCTCCCAGGCCCCAGTGCAATCTCGAGATCATTGATCACGTCGTGGGAAACCAGCCTGATCAGGAGATGTTACCTGCCTCGGAATGGTGAGTCCCCGGCCCAAGCCCTTCCCGCAAAGGGACAGGCCCATTCCCCAGTTCTTGTCTGGGACCCCAAAGTGGGAAATGGGGCACAGGCTGTAGGAGGGTAGTGTGAGGTCACCGATTCAGCTGTTCCCTATGGAGACCAAAGGAATTAAGGCCCAAAATGATCCACAGGTCCTCCCTCTGAGGGACCTCAGGGGATTGGCACAGGTGGGGTGTCACAGTCTAGGGAGGCTCGGAAGAAGACTGTCACTACTCAAACAGCGTCCTCGTGTGAATTAGAAGCAAGTGCGTGTCTCAAAGCATTTGCATCTGTGGAGCCTTGCCATATAAAGATCTTGGTACAAAACTTTGCTTCCATCTGGAGGAAAATTGTCATAATAAAGGTACAAATCTATGATGTATGTGAGGTAGACGGTTGTTCTCTCAGGAAGCAAATTCTGGAAGGTGGAAGAGGGGCATGGAGTCAGTCCAGAGCCAACATGCCCTTCCGGCCACCCCACAGGTACCTGAATAACCTGCAGTTCCACCGTTTCTGGTCCGTGGATGACAAGATGGTGCACACGGAGTACAGCTCTCTGCGTTCCATCGTGATGACCAATTATGAGGAGTCCATCAAGATACCCATCAACGAGCCAGCGCCTGGCAAGAAGAAATCCCAGATTCAGGTGGGGTCTCCCCTGGGCCCCAGGGTCCCGGCTGGGGAAGAAGAAAGCAGGGACGAGGTTTGAGGGCTCTTGTGGGGGGGCGCAGTGGGGTAAGTGACGGGGCCAATGACAGGAGTTTCCTTGTTTCCCTCCCACAGGAGTACGTGGACTATTACGGGGGCGCCGGGGTGCAGCACATTGCTCTCAAGACCCAAGACATCATCACAACGGTAAGAAGCCCGTTCCTGGCCTTAATTCACCTCCTGTTCAGCTCCAGCGCCCATCTCTGCGAAATGGCGTAGGGGTGGCGATGGCAGTCCTGAGCCCCCTTCATTGGCCCGGAGGGCTGACAGGGCCCCCCTACTGGTCCCTGCCACTCATGTAGGCACATTCCCACCCGAGAGAGTTCAGTCTCTCCGCAGAACATTCTGGGCTTTAGAAACAGCAGGTGCCAGGGAAACAGGAAGCCTGGATTCTCTTTCCAGTCTTGCCAGTGACTTGCTGTGTTTCTCTGGGAGGGGAGGGGGTTCGACCCCCCTCTCTGGACGTCAGTTGCCTTACCTTGAAAATGAGGACATTAGGCTACAAGATCCATTAGGTCCTTTGAGCCAAATTAAATGTCCTGAATCTATGGATCTAGCCCTTGGGGAGGCTGGGTCCCACCTATTTGTTACGAGCCAGTATGGCAGAGTGGACAAGAGCCTGGACTGTCCTATTTAATCCTGGCTCAAGGAAGAATTCACTGCCTGATTCTAGCAACTTCATTCATTCATTCATTCATTCATTCACTCACTCACTCAATAGAAGTTTACTGGGCACCTCTGTGCCAGGCACTGTTTTAGGTACTTAGGACGTTATCAGCCAACAAGACAATATGGAAGCAGAAAACAAAATACATAAAATATATACGTTAGGTGGCAGTGAGTGCTCTGGAGAAAAATACAGCAGGACAATGGAAGAGGGAGGGTGAAGGACACCGCATTTTTAAATAGGGCTGTCCCCGAAAGGCCTCACTGAGAAGGAGACATTTGAGAATGCAGAGTTGGAAGGAGAGAAGCCTGTGGATACACAGGGGAAAGTGCCCCAGGCAGAAAGGACAGCCAGGGCAGAGGAAGACTGAAGGAACAGCAAGATCAGTGTGGCTGGAACAGAATGAGTAAAGCGGAGAGAGGTAGGAGGTAAGGTCAGAGCGTCAGACGGGGAGCAGACGGTGAGGACCTGGAATGTGACTCTGAGACGTGATACCACCACGGGGTAAGCGAAGGAGGGATATGACTCATATTTTAAGAAAATCATTCTGGCTACTATGTTGAGAGTAGATACTTAATGCCTCAGTTTCCTCAGCTATGAAATGGGGATAATAATCACCCAGATGCCTCAAAAGGTCACTGCAGGGACATAATGAGGCAAGACATAGGAAGTGCTTGAGACAGGCACCGGTGAGCACTCCGCAAATGTTAGTGATGGCTATTCTTCTAACGGGCCCCACAAGACCCAGATGAGGAAGAGGATGAGGTCACAGGACACTCTGGCAGTTTGAGAGAGGTAAGATAGGAACCCTGCCTCCTCCTGGCCCAGCACCTCCACTTGGGTAGGGATGTTGAGCCTGGAGAGAGAAGGAGGCTGATCTTGACCTTGTCCCGAGACAGATTCGCCACCTGAAAGAGAGAGGCATGGAATTCCTCAACATTCCGTCGACATACTACAAACTGCTACGAGAGAAGCTCAAGTCAGCCAAGATCCGGGTGAAGGAGAACATGGATATCCTGGAGGTGAGGCTGGCAGGCCCCCTGGTCAGGTGGCAGAAGGAGCCCCGAGTTCCATCTTGCCTCACAGAGACTGTTGAACTTCTACTCCGCGGCAGGCACTGGGACACAGAAGGAAACCAGATCAGGTCCCTGCGGTCACGGCACCTGCATACCAGGGGAGAAATGACAGACGAATAAATAACACAGACACCATCAGAGAGGGCGAGAGTAGTGTCAAGCAGAAAGTTAAAATAGGCTATGACAGAGAGTGACCTGGGACTACTTTACAGGAGGCAGTCAGGGAAGGCTTCTCTGAGGAGGTGACATTTCAATGAAATCTAGATGACAAGAGGGAGTTGGCTGTGGGAAGGGCTGGGGAGAGAGCAGTCCTGGCAGAGGGAACAGAAAGTGCAAAGGTCCTGAGGCAGGAGCAACCTCTGTGTGTCTGAGGAACAGTGAGAAGGCTCAAGTGAATGAAAGGAAGCATCTCAGGAGTGGCCCCAGTTACAGAGGTAGGCAGGGGCTGATTCCTTTTGTAGGCTATTTAGGATTTTGGATTTTGTTCTTCTATGGCCAGAAACCAATGTAGGGTTGTGTGTTTTGTTTTGTTTTGTTTTTAACAGTTTTAATCATACAGAAGTCACATAACACAAGAAATCACTCTTTCAAAGTGCATAATTCAGTGATTTTTAGCTATTCACTATGTTGAGCAACCGTGATCAAAATCAATTTAAGAACATTTTCATCACTCTAAAAAGAAATCTCATACTCCTTAGCTATCGCTTCCCAATCCTACCATTCCTCTCTTCCCCCAGCCCCAGGCGACCACTGATCTAGCTCCTGTTTCTACAGATTTGTCTTTTCCAAACACGTCGTATAAATGGAATCATAATATGTGATTTTTTTGTGACTGGCTTCTTTCACTCAGCATATTGTTTGCGAGACTCATCCATGTCGTAACGTGTGTCAATACTTCATTCCTTTTTTTATGGCTGAGTAATATTCCATCGCGTGAATAAACAACAGTCATTTTGACTATTAGGAATAATGCTGCTATGAACATTTGTGTACAAACTTTTGTGCGGACATATGTTTCAGTTCTCTTGGGTAGATGCCTAGGAGTGGAATTACTGGGTCATATGGTAACTCTAGCTTAACCTTTTGAGGACCTGCCAGCCAGCTGGTTGAACTCAGCCACTGTACCATTTCACATACCCAGCACTAACCTACGAGAGCTCCAATTTCCATTGGAGGGTTTTAAGCAGGGAATGGCATGATCTGATTTTTAAAATACCCTTTTACGTCTGTGAGGAAAATGGATTGTAAGAAGGCAAGAGCAGAAGCAGGGAGACTCCTGTGGAGGCTACCTGGGTGGTCCAGGCCAGCTGTGGTGGCTTACACAAGGACTGTGGCAGTGGGGTGATAACAGGACAATTTGGGGATCTATTGTGGGGCGTCTGTAATCGCTGGAAAAGACATCTTTTCTTGGTTTAGTGGGTGCAGGAGCCCCTTCCTATGGGCTTCCTAAGGACTCCACCGTGCCAGGCTATAGGGCCGGTTAGCCTCCCCCTAATCCAGCCCTGTCTTCCGCCTAGGAGCTAAATATCCTAGTGGACTACGACGAAAACGGCTACCTCCTGCAGAACTTCTCCACACTC